TGGACACTAGTATTTTGGCTGAATTTTTTTTATATAAAGATGGCCCTTCTGCTGTCTTTCTCTGTTTATAGATATGAGTGATGCAGTGTAAACAAAATACTGAGACAATAGCCTGCCTATGTTCCCAGTTTTTCCACCACTCAGAAAGGAAAGTACCAAGATCTGTTACCACTTGGTAGAAGACAGATAGATATGAGAGGGAAGTGTTGATACCCTCTCTAACTATGGTATTATGAGCTATCCTTCATTGTGCTTTACAAAATTCCAGGAGACTCTGCAGGAAATACTATTTATAGTAGTATAATGGTGTTTACCTTGCAATGAGCAAAAGTACTCTAACTTCATAGAGGTTGGAACAGGTAAAACAATAAGGTTCACCACTGTGTGACTCCACTTTTATGATAGTATAGACACCAAGTTACAATAGCATAAACTGCATTGGTGGGCCAGGGCCACTGCTACTGCCTCCCTCAGAAGCACAAGTGTTATCTACCATTACTGATTCTACAGGCCACACATACCCAGCAGGAGCATCAAAGGGCACCTATACAAGTGACAGAGTACTGCTCCAACCTGTGCTAACTAACACATGATTAATCAAGTCTGCTGGAGCATGCCAATTGGCATGCTCCAGCACCCTCGTGTTGTGTATGCAGTGTCCCCACATTTCAAAACAGTGGTGGAGGTTCTGAAAGCTCATTGAATAAGCTTTAGTTAAAGTGCCCCCACTGCCATTTTGAAGTGCAGGACGCTGAATACACACAACGCTGCGGGCACTTTAATTAGAGCAGCGCTCATAGAGACTTTAATTAAAGCGCCTCCTCCTCCACTCCCGAGCACGTGTAGTCATCCAAAATGACACTAACTGGGGTTGAATCAGTGTCGTCATCCCCCCACACCCAAATGCCGTTTCAAGAGCATCAGGATCAGCAGCAGAGGCACAAAGTGATCCAGATGGCTGGAAAATGTAAATGTGATTGTGTGTATTTACACAAACACATGGGTTGGGGGGGGGCGGGGGAAAGGTACCAAAGATAAAAAATGAGAGAGGAGAGAAAAGCAAATTGTTTAATTTTAGGGTGAAGTTTTATCTGAATTTCTTTCATCTACCAACTAAATTAAATGGTAAGGCTTAACTTAATTGGAAGGCAAAGACATACAAGAAAGACGTCCTTCCAGAAATATGGAATTTCCACCAGTATTTGCAAGGGGAGTGGAAAGGGAGGGGAAGGGTAGCTCCTTCCCCACAGAAAAAGATCAACTTAATGCACTTTACATTTATGTAAATAAAAAAAGACAGGCTATATACATGAAAGCACACATTCACCTTTATGCATCATCTGCAAGTCCCTAGTCCCACGTTAAAGTTATAGGACTGATTCAGAAAAAATCATTATGTGGAGAAGCACTTAAGTGCTTCCTGAATTGGGATCTGAACCATCCGACTTTACTCAAACTATCATCGTGCGCATACACACGGTCACGTTTTGCCCATCTTCTTCACACATACAGTCCTACTGAAGTCTCATAGGTCACATCCACATGTTCATGGATATTTGGTTCCCTGGGGACAGCTAGCAACGGTGCACCTTGCCCACTGCTAGTTGTCCTTGGGGAACACCTATGCCACACGCCCTCTGGCACAAGGCAAGTTACCCCAGGTAGGGTTGGGGAGGCTGGGGCCACCAGCCTTATCTGGGGTCCTGTTGGCCTCCCAGGGCTGCAGCAGCAGTGATCCTGCCACATGCAACCTGGCTGGCAGAGGAGCGTGCCTCCAGCTGGCCCAGCTCCAGTAGTAAGCGGTGTGCATTGCCCCTGCATGTGATGCTCCACTTTTTTTTTTTTTTTTTTTTTT